TGCCACTGGAAGATGCATAAAAAAGATCCTTTGCAGCTCACTACAACAAAATTGCGTGGACACCTAATGCGAACTCAATCAAATGTTACCTCTGGACCGGACGGTGTCCGTCCGTTGTCATTGAAATTCTGCTCGTCTGAATTGTGCAATACGTTGAAAGCTTTTTCTAACTTCTGTCTGCGTCTTCGCTGATTCCCAATATCTGGCATATGGGTCATCCCGATGTTCAAGAAACCATTAGCGTCGGAAGACGTGGCCGATTGCTCTTATCTCAGCTCTCCTGAAATGTCTTGAGAAGCTGGTATTACAGAGTCTAGAGAAAATGATTGCGAACATCATGGACCGGTGGCAGTTTGCATTCAGAGCAGGATTCAGGACCGACGATGCCACTGTCTATTTAACAAATGAAATCAGCGAAAAACTATGCAAAGGCAGGCGTATTGCATGGTTAGTTTATTTTCGATTTGTCAGCCGCTCAGCCGCCTTCAACGCAGTCCATCGTGATAAGGTGTTGGGGAAACTATGCATGCCGGTTGTCCACACGTTTGTCACATCGATCGGAATAAATCTGGAATCTTGGCGAATTTCCTGGGTTCAGTGCATGGCTTTCTACTCTCACCCTCTTAATTTCTATGGCCTTGTCGTTGGCGGACACCGAAAGTATATACAGCTGCTGATGACGCTACCGTTGTGAGCTCTCAACGGTTGGCAGAAGACAAATTGCTGCGAAAATAGTGTTTCTACCAATTGCCATGTTTTCTCCAACAACAGGCTCATCCTCAATCCGAAAAAGACTAAAGAATGAATATGTATGGTGCGAAACACTGACTGACGCAGCAACACAAACCCTCGACACTGATTGCCAGCCAGTAATCCAAATACAGCACATCCACTACCTAATAGCCACTTTGGCTTCTAACTTCTCTTGGGACCAGCATGTCAAGTCGCTTTCTAGCGCTGCTGAAAGCATCCCTCTGCACCAAGTGACTGAGAAGGTTGCATGCTCCAAAGGAGGCCATTAAGACTTTTGTCTTCGGTATATCCTCTCCCTGTATAGCAACGCAACCGCTTTCGTCTTTCCTGAACTGCAAGCGTGAGACTTCAAATAGATAAGGCGATCTTTAAATTCTGTCTCTAGGCGTAGTGGTCTTCCATACTGGCATTTAAAACAACACCTCTTTCTGAATCAGCAGTTGCTCACACCTTTCGGAAATAAAATTCTTGACACTTCTCCTCACCCGCATTGATACGGCTCTTGTGCAATGCCTATCTCGCAGTACCTCCACCAGATTTCAGTTTGTCAATATTTCACCTCAGACGGAACTATTCCGAAGATCAATTTTACCATCGTCTGCGCCCTCATTGAGAGCATAATGCGGCTAAACAGATTGCATGACATTGCTCAATGTGATATAGCCGTGTTTTGCATATTTGCCCTTATTCTTTTCGTATTTTTGCTGAAAAGAGAGCCCAATAATGTCTTTTTAAGCGAAAAAACCTTCAGTCTTCTTTCACAGCTGGCCTTCCAAAAGTCTACTGTTAAAAGAAGTCGTCATAAGATGCGTCCAAGATGTTTGAACAGAAAATATTGATATGCTCAAGAATGTATTGCAACATACTGCCTAGACTAGACCAGGCATCAAGACTTAAATATTTACGTCTTGAATTACACAGAATATCTAATATACCAATTTAATCTATTCTGACCGCTGATAGAAGTGCTCGTTGGCTCTCATGAGATGACCTCCGTTCTTTTACGTCGTCTAAGAAAAAAGGGCGTTTAAAAGTAGGGTCGCTCTACTCAAAAAGAGGTCTCTTTACAAATATGAACGGAGTTCAATCGCCTCAGCAGTATTTGTGCTTTAGTTGCTTTCAATAACTGCTCATCTCCAGATCTTTGGAAGAACGTCATGGTGCTATGTAATTCCAGCAGACTGGCCTCTGCTGACATGTCCATAGACCTTGATATTCTAAATGAGTACTTTCTGAGCTTTGAGAAAGATCAGAATCTCTAAATCAATTGCAGCTACCCCTCAGATTCGAGAGTTTTAGTGAACCCGTCCAACCTATGTCCCCAAAGGTTGAATATTGCTGCGCTAAATTAGGCTCTCATTCAGCCACCGGTCCGGATTCTGTGAGTCCCACATTGCTGAAACACTGTTCTTCCTGAATTTCTTATGTGTTTTGCGGAGTCTACATTCGCGGCCTGGCGAAGTCTGTTATTCCCGATTCTTGGCGTATATCATGCTTGACCCCGGTTTCAAAGGAAACCAACCGTCTATCTGATCCGGCTGCTTTTCGGCCAGTGGCAGTAACGTCAGCACTATTGAAAACCCTCAAACATTACGTCCTGTATAACATTGACAAAGCTATTGTGTCACACACTGACCCATGTCTGTTCACGTACAAGACCGAAACGGGCACATGTGACGCGTTGGCTTACTCCACCAATGATGTTGGGGAATATCTCAACAAGCAGGGTCATTTCGCACGAAGCACTTTGTTTGACTCTTCCAGTGCCTTCAGTACGGTATCTCATGATCTCTTTCTAAACAAACTATCTTGATTTGCATTAAGGCGCATAATCTGCTGGATGGCCAGCTATCTCTCTCGCAAAATGCACTATTATTGACTATTATTCACTTATGCATAATTAGCTAGAATGAATGGCTTAGGACTAGAAACTGACCCCACCCAAACGAAGACCTTACGAGCAACCGACTCGACTAACGACGCAACGATTCAGTGGGGTGGAACGACCATCGAGGAGGTCGAAGCTTCAAGTACCCCAGCTCTATGCTTGTGAGAGACGGAAGCTGCGATATGGAAGTAGAACAGCGCTTACGGTTGGCATGTGTGAACTTCGGGCGACTTTCTAAGGTGTGGCAGGACCGATCTATCTGGAAAGCAACAAAGTTTATCTAACTGTATGCCGCCGTCTTCTCAATCCTGATGTACAGCCTTGAAGCAAGAATTCAGCGCGTGAAAAGGCACTTAGGCATTTTTTAGCAGCACTGCCTGCGGAACATTCTGAAAGCGCGATGGTTCCATGAATAAAGAATGAAATGATCTTGGGAACCCCCGTTTTGAGAATGTTGTGTGAAGGAGTCAGTGATTGGCATCTGTCGTGGTTTGACAGAATCGTCCGGAGAGAGAATAGAAATTTACCCAAAACCATTCTCCTATGGGAGGCAATAAATACTGAAGCAGCTGCTAGAGGCAGACTTGCTTGCGATGAGGAACATTACCCCTGCCACAGTACTAAGATCATCTAAATCATTCTGAGAAGCAAACGTGTCAGACATCATTAATGTGGGTACTCTGTCGCTGACCTTGAAACACTAGCTTACGGTGACAGCAACAGCAGCAAATGCAACGTTAGCGTCAGCAGCCATGAATGAGCGAATTACAGAATAGTTTGCATTCAAGAAGCAACCGAACCAAAAAGAACATACTGTAAGCGATGAAGATGTCTGGCAAAATCTGGTCAGCATCGACGGCGCTGGAACTGGCTAATGCATAATTAAATCCAACAGATCGCTGCTACTCTCCGAGTACAGGCTACAAACCCGGTACCAATGAAGGCTCGCAACAAAAATGGAATAGCCTCTATCATTTTGACGAACCTAAGAATGATTCGCCACCTTAGGATTAAAAATCTTTTCGAATTTTTCTACTGATTTAGCACCACGCATAGGCTGCGTTATGTTTACCACCACACATGCTGAACTGTTTAAATATTAAAATATGCATGTATATGTTTGAATGGAATAAATGTTTAGTGCATACGTGCTGGAATGTGCCCTCAATCGGTGGCGTAAGAGTAACATATACGGTTTAATGTCCACCACGTACGCAGTTTTCAACACTTTGGCTATGAGGCGTCGGCTACTACGTCGTAGAAAGCGACATTCTTCCTCGAAAACTTCATCTGGCTCCACCATGTTCTTTCACTATGCATGATGGCCTTCAGGAGAGCGTTTGTAATGTTTCAGCTTTCGCACAAGAAGTTCACGAACTGGAATAAGGCCTTACCAATGTTTCAAGGGACAGTCTCCTTTAAATAATTTCAAGATCTGCTGAGCTGACACGTGACGTAAACGTAACAGACCTATTCCTTATGCGATCCTGCCATTTCAACCTCACTATAAGTTTAAGCCAACACTGCTGCGCGTAGTGCAACCCTCTTTCAATCATTCGCCATAACAACTGTTTTCACGCAATTCAAGAATGCTGACCTAACGAAGGGGCAATGGGCAGACGGATTTTTCAAGCATTAAGTATTCCTCCCTCAGCCCAAATAATATGAACGTTACAAAACGCAGGGAAGCGAGGGCCAATCTCCTATTTAACAATGATTGAATAGTGCCGTTGCTAGAGATGGTAAATCGCTCAACGGTTCTACAGCTGAACGATCATTGTGCATCGAAGTCGACACTGCCGCACGCAGTTCTCGTTGATTTTTATTTATTCGTGAAGACAACTGTTTTCGTACCATACGGCGACACTTACTTGGCGACAGATATATGATGTAGGCGGATTTTTATGGGAAGAGTAACTCCTTTCTGAGTTAAAGTCTTAGACAGCATTTTAAATGCAGTCGAGGCTAGAGCGATCCTCCTGTTTAACTCTGACTGGATAATGGCATCACTAGACGAAGAAGCTGACATTCTCATGCTTCTCAACCTGCTGCACCGCTTTACTGCGCTCGTTGTTTCACTAGTGCATCAGTTATGCTGGACGGGCTCCGCATAACTTTTGGCTTCCAAGCGTTAGAAAAGAGGCCATCTTTGTTCCATATGGCAAGCCTCCAGCGATAACACTTTATTCCAATATTACTCACTGAAACAATATGATGTGCGCATTCCGAGTCAAAAAGGCATCTATCGGTAGGGGGGCACTTTGAACTGCACTGAATTTCAACTTTAACTGAACCTTTCTTCCTGAATAAGACCTTGTTTTTCCTTCACCAAGGTCTGTCCTACTTCAATGGAGAAAATCGGGGACAGTAGTGAATAATCGAAATAAATTTTTCTTTTACTACCGAATTTACACGGCGTACAGCTATCGTACCCTTGCTTCTAGCGGAAATAAGGAATATTTAATGCAGGCCATGGTTCTAATCTATTTGAGTACCTGCAGTGCATATATGCAAAACCGCATCACTGGGCAGGACCGAATAAAATTTTGCCCAGACACCTGCCAATATACCATTAACTGCAGGCATATTTATACATAAAAATAAACACCGGTCTTATCGATTTAATGGCATACAGCTAGTTTCCATTGCACTGTTGAGAAAAATAAAATTTTTCTTTTTCTACCGAATCTACACGGCGTAGGGACATTGTTCCCTTGCTTCTAGCGGCCTAGGGGACCATGTAAATCCCGCCGTAAATCTTATTCTTCTTGACCGCGGCATCGATAACCAGCAGTATGCTAGTAAATCGATAAGATAGTTGTTTATTTTATGTATAAATAGAACACTATGTACACATTTGATGAAATAAGGTACGCAGCATTGCTACTATTCCTATTCGTTAGTACTTAAGCCGATGAGGAATTATTTAATTTACCCCATGGACCTTCTTCGTCTCGTGGTGTAGCAACTATTTTCGATTTCTAGTTCTTTACATGGATCAAATCATTAATTAACGTTCGAAACTGACCAATTTAGAAATTTGTTGGGCGGCTACTGAAAATGATCGATCCACCGCTAGAATCGCTCTTTCTAATGGCCAATAGGATAATTTTAGTGTCTTCGATAAGAAAACGGCAGAACAACCATGGAACTTCTTTGAATACCGTTCGAAAATCAGCCTATTTGAGAGCTCTATCAATCTTCCCTATTTCTCCTCCTACTTAACGTTCCTTGTCCCTCATATGTTTT